TTTTTTCCACATTCAACTACCATGATTTGCCAGTTTTTCACTGGAATTTCAATTCCATTTGACCAGGACTTCCCCAGCCTGCCGAAAGCATCCCCAGAACACCCTGAACATCACCCAGACAGCAACAACTTTAATTTCTGCAGCACTTTCCCAACTCCCCTGCATAATTCCATTTTCCCTATTCTCTTCCAATCCRGTGACAGGAATGTCAAGCTCCACTAAAGATTTGCTGTTACCCTGACAGCTCTGAAATTTGGCACCTTTAGCAGCCTGGTGCCTTACAAGACATTTCACCTTTGGATAATAAAACACTTCCATCAATACCTTTAACCCSAAGGATATCAATGCACATCACTGAGAAGAAAAATCATCTCCAAGAAACTCTGTCACAATGAAGTAATAATGTATTATTATTAATAATATTAATTTATAGCAGGAAAATCATGGCTTTCCAGGCTACCAGTGGTCCACAACCAGCTCAATGCTGCCTGAAGGTCCTGATTTATTTCAGAGGTTTCCAGTACAAATTAAATTTAAAATTCTTTAGAAATACCCAGAGCTGKAGGTAGAGGAGGACAAATAAACACAATCAAATGCAAAACCCAAACTCTCCTGGCTCCTGCTGCAGGAAGGAAAGTGGCAAATMCATATCAGGAACTGCCTGAGCTTTCCAGGGGTCTCACAGCAAAGAGAATCAGCTCAGGCACTGCCAAACCTCTGGGTTTTTTCCTGTCCTAAAAATAAGAGAAATCCTACAAAATAACATCACAAATGTCAGTTGATTTTATCTTTCACTCCGTGCAGAGAAAAAGTGCTGTTGGAACAAAAAGGTGGATGGGAGCAATTAATACATTAAATGGCAAAGAACTGACAGGATTTATTTGCAGGGGATTCTTGCTTAACTGGCAGAAATTCAGCCAAACTCTGTAAATTCCAGGTGCTCACAAAAACTGAAAACACAAAATAATCCTCACAAGCAACAGCGCAGAGCCTTCTATAACATTTTGCCTAAAACATTCCAGTTTWAGTTCAGTTTTTCATGCAGTATCCMA